ACTTCGGCAGTTGGGATGCGAGTCCGGCATCGCTGACAACCTGACCCAAACAGGATTTATCTGCATTACTATTACACTGCATTTGATGTGAGTGCCGTCCAATGCGGCTAGCCATTAGCACAGTGGGCAATGCACTCAAAGTACAGGATCTGGAACAATGCTGCCGGCACTGATCAGTCCCTGAGTGTGGCTTGCCCTGGCGCAGGGCGACAAGTGTTCGGAGCGCGGCAGCGAAGTGCATGTTATGCTGGAACTGGCCGCCAGGCCCTGGCGGATGAGGTCCATGGTTGCGTCGTCAACTGCTGGAGGGTGGACTGTGCAGGGTGTGTCAGCACTGAGTCGGTAGATGGGCTGAGAGTCCGGAAGCGCTGTACTCGAAGACGAGTAAGAGACTTAGCAGGATCATTGCAGAGTCGCCGTTGGGCTGAGAGTCCACATCAGCCGGTCTGTTGAACGGAAGGGGGAGGATCTAAGGCCAAATGGTGGTGCCTTATCTACATGGTACGAACCTTCCAAAAAATGCCAAGCCGGAGCCAGACATGAGGGGAAACAGACCAAAGCCGCCAGGCATACTTCGTGTCAGCTTTAGAGAGGAGAGCTCAGCATCAGGGACCTAAATTTCCGAGCCATCTTGAAGATTATGGGCTGGTGCGAAAACAGCTCCGGGGGCCCTGGAGGGGTGTGCTGCTGCGTCAGTCGCACAATACGTGCTCCAAGCGTCGCGAACCTCCTCCCGACTAAAGTCTCCCAGGCCAGGGATGGGGCTGCAGTTGCCTCGGCTAGGTTCTGCTCCGCTGCCGGAGCGGCCAAGTCCTCGCGTACAGTACTCAGTAGTCTGGAGCCAACTTCAACTCGAGCAGGCGAGTCCGCGGAGTAGGTTTTGTTCCTGTCGGGTCTAAATAATTGCGGGATGCCAGTGCGTTTCGCAGCTCAGCAGAGCGCATTTTGGCTGGACATCGCTTACTGACAGAGACATGGTTGATCGGATATTGATCAGAAACTGGCCGCGATTGTCAAACAATTTGACCGTCAAGGCAGCAAAGCAAAGAGCGTTATGGCTGGACATCGCTCACTGACAGAGACATGGTTGATCGGATATTGATCAGAAACTGGCCGCGATTGTCAAACAATTTGACCGTCACTGCGTCAGCGCAGCAAAGCAAACGGAGCGTTTTGGCTGGACATCGCTCACTGACAGAGACCTGGTTGATCGGATATTGATCAGAAACTGGCCGCGATAGTCAAACAATTTGACCGTCAGCACAGCAAAGCGAAGAGCAAGCTCAAAAACTGGCCAAGGTTGTCAAGCGATCTGACTGTTGGCGCAGCAAGGATGAAGAAGAAGCAGCATCGAGAGCCGGAGTAATGCGCATGCTCCGCGTGGTCCCGTGCCGGGGCGCGGGAGTTCGGAGTGCGTGTTCTGCACGGGCACGTGATGCGCTATGGCAAGTACGTGCAAATTATGTTAGGAATGTAATTGTTGGTGGGTTGCTAACTTCACTTACCGTGCCATGCACGGAAACTTATATTTATAATTATAGAATTACTAACTCTTTGCTTATGGATGACAGGAATGAATAATTTGGAGTAATGACCTACGGATGTAACCAGATCAAATAGAAATACAGTTAGAAGCTGTGACAAGGCACAAGACTGACACGGTACTGAGACATTCAATACCCTGATACCTACATTGTAGGGCAAACATATCTCCAAAGTGAAAAGTCAATAACATTCCATGGTGGAAAGATCAGGTTAGGGAAGTCCAATGAGGAGACGTTCAGTGCAAACAGCATGATAACAAGTAATAGTTACATCTCACATGCTAAAGACGGGTTGTGGGGGTGGGTAGGGTAGGTGTGGTGGTGGTGGTGGTGGTTGGGGGAGGGGGGGGGGGGATTGGAGTAGCATTGATCCCTATTGGAGACAGGAGAGAACAGGAGAAGCCGTAGATTGCGTTACCTTAACACACAAAATTTGAGTAGGGAACGAGAGGGAGGATGAGAGAGAAAGAATGAAAAGCAGTAAATGAGGTTACGCAAGTGAGAGTGAGAGAGAGAGAGAAAAAAAAAGAGTGGGAGAAGTCTTTCCAGAATTCTTGACGGATTCACTCAAAGACATTGCAATGGTGAAGTGAACGATGGACAGAAAGCTAGCAAGATCACTATCAATGTCCATGTTGATCGTCATTCGAGTCTCCAGGCAACAATTGACAGCCATGTATTGATAGAACCCGCAACTCACTCAGGGACAACCCTATGATTGTATTATCACAGCAATGGGATACCTGGTTGGAGCTGATTGCTCACGATCAGCAGCAGTAGTAGGCACTGAAATTGGCTATTGAAATGTTCTGGCTAAGAGCAGATGATCCAAGAGTAACCACAGACGTGACGTTAAAAAGTAGACGAGGATCGCAAGGGGACGACAGAGTCAGTACACAATAACAAGACATATGGGGTGCAATGAATGTCGAATGTTATCATTTGATGGAAGCCAAAACTGGAGACATATTTCTCTTCTAGTACTGTTGGTGTTCTAGCAAGCAGAGCAGTCAGATTAGTGATCATTTAGTTCTACTGTGGGCAGTAACACAGAATGAAGATAGCTAATGTGACAAAGACATTCCTCTAAAATCCCAATGAATTCCTGGACAGACTGTGATGAGTTGTGTGTGATTATGCTGTTTGAAACTATACTAGTGTGATCCCTGAGCCCGTGCACTATGCACTCATACATCAATTGTCCTCATAATTGGTTTGAAGTGCTGGTTACATTGAACAACCTGATAGCAACTAGCTTACAGTCAGATGCAAGAAAAGTGTCTAGTGTCTAGTCCAGATGTGTGGACACACTGTAATATCGCCATGGAAGTGGCACGAATGCGGCTGGACGTAAAATATGGGCAATACTGTGATCGGAACTGATCGAGGGCGCCGGCTTTGCAATTTTGGTTGAATTTCACCGAGCGACACTAGTTCATGACAGTGTTCAACTTACATGCTTTGGGTATTGTTGTTGTGTGCTGCATTTGTATGCTCCAGACCAGCTTGATCTGTGCAGAGTTTGGTGTTGAGGGTTACACTGATCCTACTGAACTGATTGCCAACGTGTGCGGAACAGAAGGTTCAGGGAAATCTACCTTCATCGCATCCTTCACAGCTGGTTTTTTCGATAAACTACTGCGTAAGGAGGATCAACCAGACTTGAAAGCAAGAGATTTAGCGTCTCGCACAAAGGTGAGTTGAAAGCAATGTTGAATGCACACAGCATTACATAGGACACAGTGTTTTTTTGGATGAAGGTCCAAACTATTTACACCTCACTAACGAAATTGTTGGTATACAACTGATGAACCACCATGTTATCCGAATATATACATGCCACATTATCCTTTTATGTATATTCTCTACACATAGCTATGCTATACTGTTGCTGTAGACCAGTATGATGTTAGTGACCTGGGTGTAATTCATAAAGTGTTCCGAGTCTTTCTCAGGCATATTTTTAACTTTTCCATTTTTTCCATATAGGGAATTGAAGAAACCATGTACAAGCAATCGAAGGTGAAGGTCCATTTTCGCGACTTTGCTGGCCAAGACCATTATTCTGTCTCACACGACCTATTTGCTGTTACCATGACAGCACCATCTGTTGCCACGATAGTTGTGGACGGCACAGAGTCGGTTGAGGAGATCACAGAACGTGTTGGTGCAACTGCTGCTAGCTATGTGTGTCGACAATCCCCATCTGATGATGGTGAGTGGATAACAATGAACTACAGTCGGGGACAAATATATCCAATCTGCAAGTCGAATGTACCCCATCATTTCACTTCAATTACATCATGCATGGTTGAGAGACCCAACTCAAGGTTGCAGGCCCACGTGAGACTTGTTGCTGATTTCGGAAAATTAGTTCCCAGAATAATATAACCCAGACAAGTGATGGCATATGCAAGCATATATCAACCAGTCCTATCTCAAGATCATCTGTAAAGGGCAGCCCAGGGAAGAAACCCACATGAATTAATAGAAAAGGCTGCTGGTGAGAAGGAGAGATCTGTGCAAGATTGTAACATTGGTGTATAGAGAGTGTGTTTTGGATTTTTTACCACCTTCTTGCCTCAAGTGTGCATTTACCACCCGATCAGCCAATTCTTAAAGGGGAAGTAAAGCCTAAAATCAAATTTTCACCAGTTTTAGCCTTCGGGGTGCTGAGTCGAATGGTCTTGGTCCGAGGAAGCTGAGACGCTCCCTTCCTCCTTTATTCCCAATCGAACTCGCGCACTTCCACCAAAACTGGGTGACTGTGCCCTACTAGATGGGGATTTGTATGCAAACTGTCAATAAAAGCGCAATTTCGTTCTTATAAAAGCACGGATGACCGCGATTGGCCCATACGTTGTAGTCTTTTGGATGCTGAGTTGATTGGTTTTGGTCCGAAAAGGCTGCGATGTAGTATTCGGCTCTTATACCTAATCGAGCATGGCTGAACAAGCGGTCACGTGCTCGTGCATACACCAGTCACCTGGTGCTCGTGCCTGCAGGCTACAACTTACAGCATGTTTCTGTCCCTCGAGTTGAACCTTTGAACCTTTGAGTTGAACCTTGGTGTGAAAGTTGTCGCCTGCTGACGCAGTCACCTAGTTTTGGTGGAAGTGCGCGAGTTCGATTGGGAATAAAGGAGGAAGGGAGCGTCTCAGCTTCCTCGGACCAAGACCATTCGACTTCGCACCCCGAAGACTAAAATTTGATTTTTGGCTTAACTTTCCCTTTAACTCAATGAGGCTACATTTATGTACTCATAATGATGTGATGAAAATTGTTTTGTTTGATCACCTTGAAAATACAATAATTATGAAGTCCATGTTTGTGATTTCATACGCAGTTTCTGAACTGGAAGACCGACAGAAACAACCACTGCCACAGCAGCTGCAGTCGCAATCACTATCACAACAGCAGGCGAGCAGCAGAAGCAACTTCAACCACAGCCCAACGCGAAGAAGTGGAAAGGGCCATTGTGGAAGGAATGAAATCATGTTCACAGCGTTCGGAGCTCTGCCTAGTGAGAGTAGTCGATGCTAGAAAGTCCAACAGTTCCAGTATGAACGAGCTGAGGAGAGCATTCATACACTTGGTGCACAAAGTACTGGCGGTAAGATTGACATTTTGATTGCTGCTTTTCTGTTTTTGCTTTTTTATTATTATTTTTTATTTATTTTTTTTTTATTGAAAAACCACAAGCCTTCAGACATGTGAATGTGCACATGATGTACAGTGTACATACGTATGTATCGAGAAGGCAGCACGGAAACGGCAGTGGTGGTGAAGCCTGGGCAGCTCGTCCGACCGTGGGTCTCGGAGTCAACACTGGGCAGACGCACCGGGGGGGGGGGGGGGGGGGGTGGTAGCTTAGGAGATAAGGGATGAAGCCAGCATGATCATAGTATGCAATGCATATGCAGAAGTAATAATGATGTTAATCTTAAAAACAATAGTGCGGTGGACCTGCGCAGAGGAAAGGCATCATGGACATGATCGACGTGTATAACATAATAATAATATTATAAGTGAGCCAGGGCACATCATACACACACATATGCGCATGTTCAAATAGGAGATCAACCTGATAGGGCGTTCGCCGGCGTTGGGTAATCTTGAAATAAAGATATTAATATTATTGAAGAGATTATTATCATACGCTCACATAAACACCACATACCAACCATGTGCACCCACCCACACACACACACACACACACACACACACACACGCGCGCGCGCGCGCGCACACACACACACAAAACATGCTCGCACGCACACACGCACGCACACACACACACACACGCACACACATATACACACCACACACACACACCACACACACACACACACACACACACACACACACACACACACACACGTACACACACACACGTGCACATTCACGCAGACGCGTAATCATACATAATATTTGTGCACAGACTCACTCTCTCACAGTAACGTCCAGAAAACCACCACGCCGAGTCCCTTCAGCCGGTCGGTCGCCCAGTCCCAGTGGCTCGAGCGCAGGAATCGGTGGACGCTGCACTTGAAGGACTGCAACCTCTTCTGGTCGGGCTGATCCAGGAGGTGTTGGCGAGGCAACTGGTTCCAGGTGTCCAGCACTCCTTCAGGGAACGACCGGCGGACATTGTTGCGAGAATTGGCTGGGATATCAGACTGCAGCTGGTAGCGGTGGCCGGCCGCCATCCGCGCCTGCTGCCTGGTGTTGGCAGGATGTTGGTCGTGGTCTGGTACTGCTTGGGAGGGGGGCAGCATTCGGGTTAGCATCTGTGGGCCTGTCAGGTAGTGGATTTTGTAGAGATAGCAGAGAGCAGCCACTTTGCGCCGGAGTTCGAGGCTTGGCAGATATGCGCCTTTGCCGATCAGATGCAGGGCTCTCCGCTGTACAGCATCGAGTTGGGCCAGCACCGTCTGAGAAGCACCCATCCAGACTAGCATGCCATGCTCGAAGACTGGGCGAACAAAGCCGTTGTAGACCGTGAGACGGCAGCCAGGGTCAAGCTCTGCTGAGGCCTTCTTCAGGAAGCCCAGTCGCTGTGTGGCGCGCGGGGCTGACTGTCGAATCTGCTGGCAGAATGTCAGTTGACTGTCGAAGGCTATCCCAAGTAGCTTCAGGCACTGGGTTTCAGGAACGATTTCACCTTGGAATGTGACCGGAGGGCAATCCCAGGGCCGACGGTGGTGGCTGACGTGGAGTAGGTATGACTTGGCGGGCTCGAATGTCACTCGCCAGGTCGCACCCCAGGCAGCAAGGGCATTGACGGCGGTCTGGAGATCATCACAGTCAGCTGCGAGGTTGCCGAGATACCGGATACACTTGTAGAGCGTTGTGTCGTCTGCGTACGTGGCAAGGCTGGTCGATTGGGGAAGGTGGTCCTCAGCGTCATTAATGTAGATCAAGAAGAGAGTGGGCCCCAGGATGCTTCCTTGAGGCACACCTGCTCGGATGGCGTGTGTGGCTGATGTTTGTCCACCAACTACGGCCCGGATCTGGCGGCTCTCTAGGTAGTTTTTCAACCATGAGAGCAGGTGGCCAGTCAGCCCAAGGCATCTGGCCTTGTGAACTACACCGCGGTGCGACACTTTGTCAAATGCGCCGGCCACGTCGACAGCAAGGACTCGGATCACACCCCCAGCATTGGACGTCCGACTCCACTCATGCTGAAGTGAGAGGAGAAGATCGCGCCCAGGCCGCGTCGGAACCCGAATTGCTGTCCGGAGAGGACCTGATTGCTTTCTAGGAAGTTAGTGATGCTGCGATTGATGATGGCCTCCATCACCTTAGAGAGTATAGAGAGGAGGGAAATCGGACGGTAGTTCTTCGGGGTAGACTTGGAGCCTTTCTTGAAAATAGGGACAACGTTCGCGATCTTCCAGGATGCAGGTTGCACCCCGTCCCGGAAGCACTGGGTGAATAGCTTTGCCAGAGGGCTGGCGAGTGACTGCGCTGACTTCCTGAGCACTTGCGCCGGAATGCGTCAGGGCCATTTGCTTTTGAAGCGTCCAGGTTCTTGAGAGCTCGCTGGACTGTGGCAGGGCGGAAGTGTACGGTCTTCAGCCTATTGCCTGTGCGTTGGCGAATAGGGGGCAGAGGTGTGTCTGGCAGGTCATTGGCACCAAGGCTACATTTCTCCGCGAAGTAGTGACCGAGGCAGTTTGCTTTCTCGATGTTCGTAGCATGCTCTTTGCCAGCAGGGTCGACAAGAATCGGGATGGAGCTATTTCGGGAGGTTCCGATGGACTGCTTGATGGTTGACCACCACTGTTTATCTCGAAGGCTGCCGGTCTGGAGTCGTGCACGGACTATTGCTAGATGGTGATTCTGGGCATCACGTAGGCAATCAGAAGACCGGTGGACAGCGAGAGTATAGTTAGCTTGACATTGGGGCGAGTCTGGTCGTCTCTTGAGGGACTTCCAGGCACTCTGTTTCGCCTTCACGGCCTTGCTGCAAGCTGGCGTCCACCAAGCGGGATCAGAGGGCCGAGTACAGAGAGGTTGGGATGGGATAAACTGGTTCATTCCATCTATGATGGCAGAGGTAATATTGGTGCAGCTGCTGTTTGCATCCTCAGACATGAGGGCATCCCAGTCCACACTCCTAAGGTGGTGGTTTAGTCTGTCCCAGTCAGCCCGGCCATATTGCCAGACTGTTCTGGCCGTCTTGGGCTCTCGACATAGTTCTGTCTTGAATTCTGCCAAGATGGTGGAGTGGTCAGATCTACCAATTTGGGAGCCGAGCCGGACCGTCGGGTTGCCCAGGTCACTCATGATGAGGTCGAGGAGGGCATTTCCACGAGTAGGCTCCGTCACATGCTGCTGGAGGTGATGTAGTGCGCAGAGGTCCTCCAGTTTCTCCCCAGCTGGAGTTGTTCTACTGCTGCCCAGCCAGGCAGTGTTGTGCGCATTGAAGTCGCCAGCGATGATGAGGTGCTGTGCACCCACCCGGGCAACGTCAATGGTCTGGTCCAAGTAATCTACCATACTGATATCGTTGCCAGGAAGAGACCCTGGGCGGTAGGCAGCACACAAGACAACTTTGCGGCCAGGTCTTATGCGGATAGAAAGCCATACAACTTCTTGGTCAAGGGTTGGAACAGCTTCCAGTTCTTGAAAAGCTAGGTGGGATTTCACCCACACAGCCACGCCTCCACCCTGTGGTGTTCGGTCTCGTCTTACTGGAGGGGAGTACCCAGGAAGAGTCACTTCGGCTTGCGTCATCTTATCCAGGGTCAGCTTGGTTTCTGTGACTACAGCAATATCTGCATCAGATGCCAGAAGGGTATGTTGAAATTCGCCAAACTTTGAACGGATACCAAAGGCATTCGTAACCAGCAATTTCAACGTCTTACTGGTCATTGCTCAGGAGAGTGTCGGCAGGTGGGAGACTATCATTGTTCTGAGGAGGAGGGTCAGATTTGGTGATGTCATCAGTTTTGGCAGGTGGGCTAGAATTATCATTTTTTTTTTTTTTTTTTTTTTTTTTTACTTGAAACCACGCACCCAATTCGTAAAAGAAGAAAGAAGCAGGAAATGACAAAACAACAGACTAACAAGACATTGACTGAATGGGGCTGCAAATGCAACGCAGCGGTGGTGATGAGGTGCTGCAGGCTCCGCCGACCAATGGTCTCGGCATCCGCGCCTACTTCACGCATCAGAAAATCGGGAGAAGAAGAGAAACAAAAACGATTGAAAAATATATATAGCGAAAAGTATAGTGTGGAGAGAGAGAGAGAGAGAGAGAGAGAGAGAGAGAGAGAGAGAGAGAGAGAGAGACGGAGAGAGAGACGGAGAGAGAGAGAGAGAGAGAGAGAGAGAGAGAGAGAGAGAGAGAGAGAGAGAGAGAGAGAGACGGAGAGAGAGAGAGACGGGAGAGAGAGAGAGAGAGAGAGGAGAGAGAGAGAGAGAGACAGAAAAAGAGAGAGAGAGAGAGAGAGAGAGAGAGAGAGACAGAGAGACAGAGACAGAGACAGAGACAGAGAGAGAGAGACAGAGAGTAGAGAAAACAAGGAAAAAGAGAGCAATACCTACATGTAGATACTGAGTTTAGACTGAGTCAGTAGCCCACATCCAGTTCTCGGCGCGCAGGTAGCGGTATACCTGCGTCTTGAATGCCTGCATTCGGCTGCGATGGGGAGGATGCAGGAGCAGATCACAGGGCAATGCATTCCACTGGTGGAGCACACAGTGGGGAAATGATCGCTTCAGGACTAACGGGGTAGAGGCTGGCAGGCTGGCGTCCAGTTGAAACCGGTGGCCAGCAGCGCTGGCATGGTCGCTCCGGGTTCGCGGGTTGGCCGACTGCTGACGGCGAGCTGGCAGAACCGCGAGAAGTTGAGGTGGGCCCGTAATTACTTGTAGCTTGTATAAACAAGCTAGGGCAGCTACTGTCCGTCTGATTGCCAGACTAGGCAGGATTGCTCCCGGACCGATGATTCCGAGGGGCCCCTGTGCTGGACTCGGTCCAGTCGGCTGAGGTGGCTGGATGACGCTCCAATCCAGATAAGTGGGGCGTACTCCAGCAGCGGACGGACGAATGCTTTGTACACTGTTATGCGCCCATCCAGAGGGAGAAGATGAGCTGACCGG